GAAGAGAATGCTGTTGTTCTAATCCCGGGAGGAGATTTGTTCCAGGTCGGAAATGACAGGCTATGGGGACACCACGGTTGAGATCAATGTTGCTGGTGGCGGAGCGGGAGGAGAGGAAAGAAAGAGAACAACTCATGGTGATATCCTTAGCCAATGCATATACTGAAGTGGAGGTCAAGAACAGTAGGTCATTGCGGCTGAAGAGAGATCGACTGAATTAAAGCACAAAACCTTAATGGACGCCGGCAATCACAGAAAGGTCAGGAGAACGTCCCGTCAACTTTGAAGGGGATGGTGTGGTTACTGAGACATCCTGACGTCCACGACATGAGTCCCGGGGGCAACCCACATGTGGGTAGTTCCGATAGTAGTCCTTGATGCCAAACACACAGTTCGAAAACGAGAATAGTTGAATCATCCGGGGATTTCGATTCATCGGGCCTGATACACAGGAGAGGATGGAAGGAGGCTTTCCTTAAAGAACAACTGCGGTTTGAATTAAAATGCGGTGGTTACAAATCCGAAGTAAAGCAGCAGTCAAGTTCCAAGGGCGAAAATCATCCCGGCAGTTAATCTTATCGCTAAATGTTGCGTGTTGTTGGTGATGATGGAATGAATGAATAATGAAATAAGACTGATCTGATGAGCCTAGGCAAATGAAACGGAGGGAAGAATGTATGTGTTTGTAACCAGGTCTTGGGTATGAGCACGATTCGGGACAGGCGTAGGGAATTTAATCAAGTTGCTTAAGTTGTTGACCTCAGAGTGAAATCGCTTCATGTCCGATTGAAGTTGTTTTGACCGAGTGTATGCGATTATCGTTCTTGTGAAAATTAGAATCTTCAAAGATGGAGAACTGGCAAATGGGATCAATACCATTAAGCTTTTGGCTTTGAAAGTAAGGAATCATGGAATAGTAGTAAATAAAATTACGGTCTGTTTGTTGAAATTTTTAACTTAAAGATAAATTTCTGCAGTCTTTCTGTGTGTACCTGTTCACCTGTCCCTGTGGAACAAGTTGAGTTGGCTGTACGAGTAGACGTTTATCCGAACGAGTCCGCAAGTACCACCCGGCCTGGCTGAATAGTAGAGTAATTAGGACCGTCAACAGTTCAATCGTTTCACACCTAGTGGAGTCAAACCACGTGGTTGATGTGGCCGAGGCGTCTCGACCCATCTACTTAGTTCACAGCCGTCGATCTAAGGGGATTTGGAGTCACATTCTGGCCACAGCGGAAGCGATCGGAACCCGCTCGCCAAAATAATTCGTAAGAACATCCGATCTTCCATGGCCAACGCACACGACAAAGTCACCTCCCCCACCCGCCTCCTAATGACTCGAACCAATGCCGATGTGTGATGACCGAAAGAGTGAGCAACATCCGGTCATGGAGCTGAAATGTGGATTATTTCTGTTCTCATTTTGTCATGTTTTCTTCCCCGCCCTAATTGCTTTTTGACATAAATTGTGATGTATTAGCTTGTATAGGATCACCACAAACGAGCTTGTTCACTACTGTGTCCTTCCCACAAGGTGTAATGGTCATTTATTTGGACAATCGATAAAATGTCTTGCTTCATAAAAAGGCAAACAAATAAAAATATCAAAAGGATGCACGGTTGTCCTTTTCACTCTAATTGTTTTTATTCACATCAGCTCAGTTCAGTTCTTACAAACATTAACCGTGCACTTTCATGCACCGGTTTTGGTTGCTGTCTTTGGGTTAACCATTTGGATAAAATAGCAGAATGAATATTGATATATTGAAAGTAAATTCAAGCGAAAGATAGCGAATTCATATAAACTGAAGTTACAAGAATAATGAGTGGATGCTTGAACGCCACTGTTTCCGATATCCAGCCATATCGCTCAGTGTCTCTAAAGATCGGTGATTATTATCTCGGGGTCCCCAGCCAGGGAGCCTAACGAGACCTATTTGACCTGGTCTCCTGGTTAGGGTTTTCATACCCTCATGCCAGGTCCTCGTTCGACCACCCTTGATCTTTTTCCATCCACTACCTGCCTCGGCAAACATTCGCCG